TCTGCCCGCGGCCGCACCTCGGGGCTCCCGCCGCGCGAGGTTCAGCAGCACAGCAGCCTGGCTGCCGGCCCGGCCGCCCCGGGCCGCCGCGCCCTCGGCCTGGCCCGGAGCCCCTCCTGGGCCGCGGATCACAGCAAAGACCCGCGGGGCCCGCCCCAGCCCCCCGGAGAGCTGCAGCCCGCAGACGCTGCCAGCAAGAGGAAGAGATGAGGGCCGCCGCGCCCAGAGCCCTCCCGTCTCACCTCGTTACCTCAGGAGCCAGGGGCAGACAGCAATACTGGGCCACAGCCTGGACTCCGCGGGCCCCCGCGCCCGGCCACCTAGCGCCTGGCCACCTAGCACCCGGCCACCCAGCACCATGGAGTCGGGTCTGGGCGGGCTGAGGCCCAGACAAAGCCCAGACCGGCCTGGCCGTGGTCCTCCCCACGCAGACACATGTATATATATATATGCACATATAGAGAGAGACAGACATATATCTATATTTATTTTTTTTACTGAGAGCATATGACTTCCGGAAAGTGCTAAAGTGCGGGCTGGGGCCCAGGCAGAGCTTTTTGCCTGATGCTTAGGACCCAGGCCGGACCCGCCCTGGGCAGGTGGTCCTGCTGGGGCACCAGCGCCCCTACTTTTTGGTGTCTCCCCTGGGTTGGGAGTAGCTTGGAGAGGGCTCTCAGGCCCCCGAGGGTCCCACAGCCCAGGAGACAGGCTCAGAAAAAGCGAGGTCATTCAGGGTGCGGTTTTTTCCTTTAAAGAAGAAATGCTGCTAAGATCCCGCCCCCTCCCCCTGCCCCCATGTAGTGGGGTGTCTGTCTTGTCGTTCCTGACTGTCTAGTTGTGTCAACAGTCTTGTAGGCACCCAGAGTCCACAGACTCTTAGTCAACCAGTTAGATGTGTTTCTTTAGAACATCAGGGGTGATAGTTGTATTTTCTTAGGGCTGGGATGGGGGTGGCGAGCAACTCCGAGGCTGGCAGGGGGCTCTGACCCGGGTGAGGCCCCTGCCCCAGTGGGCACTTCCCGGGGTGGGGGTCTGCTATGGCCTTGCCCCCGGGAGGTCGAGGGCAGGAGCGGAGGCAGCAGGAGACAGGACAGCCCCTGAGATGCTGGCAAGGTCAAGGCTGCCCCTGGCCTGTGCTGGCCGTGGCTTTTCCCCTCCCGGTGGGAGCAGGCGTGGGCACCTGCCTGGGCCCTGGGACACCCCCCTTCACACCCTGTCACCTGGAGCCAGCCCCCGCCCCCTCCACACACACACCCGTCTCATTTTCCCACCTTCCCAAAGCTGCAGAGCGGATTTCATACAGCAGTGCTGCTCACGCCGTTTGCAGACGGCATTTTTCTTTGAACAGTTGTGCACTTATTTCAGTATTCCTTAGGAAGGCGGCAGTAACTGAGCCCCTGACTTCACAGACATACTGCTTAGGTCAGGGCTGAGCTCTTAAAAGTGAGTAGACAGGTCAGTGTAAAGAGGACTGGGGAAGGCGGTAGCCATGGGGGGTGGGACATGCTGCACTTAGCAATAACCAGGCCTTTTCCCTCTGAGATCTCAGATGGTTTGTCTGGTCCCTGCCTAGGGGGCCTGTCCTTGTTCCCAAACCCTGACCTCAAAGAACGTGGCTTCAGGCCGGGCTGGCAGGTGGTGCTGGTGGGGGTCGCTGCTTGGACAGGCTCTGGGTGTCTCCCAGGCTGGCACAGGGACCCTTGGGGCCGGGGCTCTGCAGCAAAGGAAGGAGGTAATGAGTGACGTAAGCTTGGTGGCCTGCAAAGCCCTTCCCTTAGTAGCTGGTGGGGGGGAGGGAGGGAGAGGGTGGCCAGGCCCACTTTACAGGTGAGGAGACTGAGGCCTGGAGAGGCAGAGCGGCCAACTCAGAATCCCTCAGGGCCCTGGCAGCCAAGAGGCTGGGCACCCCCGGGGGCCGGCACCTGAGTACCTGGCATGTGAAAAATTGGTCTGAGTCCAAAGAGGGTGGGAAGGGAAGGCAGAGCCTGGCCGAGGCCTCTGTTGGTGCCGTGGAGCTGGGCCGCCAAGGCAGTCAGACCTGGATTTGCCCCTGCACCGCCGGCGCTCTCACTCCTCACCCCAAAGTGTGGATGGCAGGCCTCGGTGAGGGTACAGGACGGCAGCCTCCAGGGTGAGGGGTTCGCCAGGCTCTCCCTCTTGGTCTTGTCCTGCCCCTGGGCGGCCCATCCCTGGAGGGGGAGGCCGGGCACAAGTCCGAAGCTGCTGCAGAGCACCTGGGGCCGCCTCCCTTGCTGTGCTGATGGGTTCGCTATGGGGCAGGTAGGCCTGTCTGGCTCTACGCGTCCTCCCCACCCCCCCACACTGGGGGGCAGTCCCAGCAGTGGAAGTTAGAGGGAGCAGCACACACATTAGTCACCATGTTCCTGGAGGGACCCGTGTGCCGGAGCCTGGAGGAGGGCAGTGGGCTCCTGTCTGGGGTAAGTGGGTGACTGGGCTTGGGCTCCAGGGGACGTCATGGACACTGGCCAGCAGCTTCTTTCTGGGCACAGGGTCACCCTGTTCGATAGGCACGTGGCCCAGAGCAGTGCGCACACACCCGGGAAGTGATGAGAGAGCAGACGTGTCTGAGGGTGGGACTAGCTGAGCCTAGAGGAGAGGAGTTTCACCTGGGGAGTCATGGGAGACGGGTCTGGTTCCTGGAGGCCCAGTGCTGTTCCCAGGCCTGGGGCACAGAAGCGGTGATTGGCCAGGACAAGCTGCAATGGGCAGGGTTAGGTGATGGCCCCTTGGCCCTTCCTGATCCTACGGCCTGTCCGTCACAAAAGCACAAACTTGCCCTCATCCCCACAGGCCCGGCCCTGGGGCGAGTGGGGACGCTGGTGGGGAGCTCCCCACGCTGTCTGTTTGCAGGGCTCTGCAGAGCGGGGGCTGGCAGGCACGTTGGTGTCTGCACAGATGGACCCACGACCGGCCAGGGGTGTGGTCCACCCCAGCCAAAGCCTCTTCCGTCGCCCGCCCCCCTGCACCAGGCAGCACCCCAGAAGGCGCAGTACGCACAGTGCCAGTCCGTCTGCTGTCTTCCCTTCAGGTCCTTTCCCCGGAGCCTCGTTTCCAGGGTCCCCTTTGCTGCATTGTGTAAGGGCTTGGGGTCTTAGAAGCCGCTACACATACTCTCTTTGTCTTTGTGCAATAATCAGTGTTTCTGGTGGAGCCGGGTTGAGCTGGGGCCGGAGGAGGGGGCAGAAGCCACCTCCTCCGGGAAGCCCTCAGCCTGGCTCTGCTGCTGTGACCACTGCACTCCCAGTCGCTGTACAGTTTCTATGGTGTGAATGAACCTCCCTCCTAGTTGCTGATGGCGCTGGTCCCTGCTGGCCCAGATGGCCTGGGCACAGAGGAACCCTGTGGCAGCCGCCACCAGTGTTGTTCCGAATAAAACCCAGAAGCCTATTTCAGAATCCCTCTGCGTCTGTGCTATTCTTTCCACAGGTGGGTGTTGAGCTGGGGGGTTTCCCAGAGGTGGGGTCCTCCTTCAAGCCCAGGCTGGGGCCTGGGGTGTCTGGGACCTAGAGAAGTACCCATGGCAGGGACCTCTCATGGCCGGGGTATGGGTCAGGGGCTGCTGGGCTGGGGAGGAGGCAGGGCCTGGCTCTCATGCTCTGGTTCTGCAGCTAAGATGCTGGACCTGGGTGATGGGTCACACGGGAATCATAACCTACTATCTTTGGCACTATTTCCTGAATTTGTATTATGGGTATTATCAGGACTCTCTCGGCTGCAAATAACAAAACAAAACAAAACAAAACAAAACAAAACAAAAAAACCAACTCAAAGGAGCTTAAGAATAAAAGGAAGGGCCAGAGAGAGAAGAGGAAGGGAGGGAAGAAAGAAAAACAAGAAGGACATGACTTAGTGAAGAGCCCTGAGGTGGTCTGGCTTCAGGTACAGTTGGATCAAGGGCTCCAGCTGTCACTTAGGACACAGTCTTTCTCCGCCTCTTGGCTCTCCTTCCGTCTATGCTTGCTTCCCTCCTCTCCTGTGGCCACCAGCAGCCCCGGCTTCAGGCCTGTCCACCAGCCCCCAAGTGAATGAGGGCTTCTCTCCTGACAGTCAGGCAAAGCCCATGGAATCAGCCATATTCTGATCGGGGGCCCAGGCCTTGCAATGGCAGCCCCTTCACTGTGTCTGGGCACCGGTTTCACTCTCTCTGTCCCAATCCCAATCCTGTTTAAATACCTCCTTGGCCCCGAGGGCCTGAGCCTGGCCCCAGTGTCCTACAAACCAGGCCCACTCTAGCCTCCCTTCCTCCCTTTCCCCCTTTCCCCTGGCTAATGTTTAATTGTCCCTTCAGGTCTCAGCTTAAACGTCACTTCCTCCAGGCAGCCTTCCCGGATTCCCATGGCTTTGTCTGTCTCCTGACTGAGTCCCAGAGCCCAAGGGCAGCCACCATGGTCCCTCCTCCCAGCCCAGGGCCTAGTGCAGGGCTGAGCCTCAGCAAAAGTCAGCGATGGGTCTGTGTTTTGGAAGCCAAAGGGATTTTCAAGACCAATGACGCCTCTCCCCCATTTATCTACGTGAGGAAACTGAGGCCCAGAGAGGTGGCACTGTGCTCGCAGGGCACACAGGAAGGAGGTGCTGGGGTGACCGGTGCCCACACTGCCCCTCCAGGAGGGGGGAGTGAGCACCTAGCTCTCCCACTGCAGTCACCGCCCCTGGGTGCAACCTGCTTTGTTTGGCCTCCCTCACCCGTTAACAATGGGATTAAAAGCAAGTTGCTGCCAACGGGAGTGACTGACTTTAAAAAAACACCCAGGAACATTTAAAGGAAATGAAAAACTTTAGCCACCAGCACTTTTTATTTAGACCTGAATTCATGAATTTTAACCAAATAAACACTGGCGTGTTCGGTATTAATATATGTACGATTATGCAGAACTACTTTTATGGCTGTGATGAAAATTAGATTCTGACTCAGGGGTGGCATTCCAGGAGAGAGGCGTCCTCCTGCTCCCAGCACCGTGAACTCGGGTTGCTGTTGCCATGGTAACTGGGCTATCGTGGGAATCTGTGGACCAGAGGCTGGTTGGTCCTTGGGGAGGGGCTGGGCTCAGCTCTGTCCCTGAACCTCACAGGAGATGGGCAAGTCACTGGTGGGAGCAGGTGGGGTAGGCAGAACCAGCAAGTGCTCAGCGCCCCCACATCCTCTCACAGTCCCCAGGGAGGCATCCCTTTCATTTTTCAATAAACATTTG